GTGTGTGTGTGTGTGTGTGTGTGTGTGTGTGTGTGTGTTTTGAAAATAAAAAAGCATGTAGGGTTAGATAAAGCTGTCAGATTGTGTCATCACGTCGTGTCTCAGCTGCAACAGAACCTGACCTGCTGGAAGAAACAACCAGTCTCATGTTTGTCCATCTGTCTGTGTTTTCTGTGTTGCAGTTCCTCCTCAAATCGTGGTGCGGCCTCGCGACCAGATCACTGCACCGGGTCGCACCGTAACCTTCCTCTGCAGCACCAAGGGAAACCCTCCGCCGGCCGTGTTCTGGCAGAAGGAAGGCAGCCAGGTGAGAGGCCACCTGTCAGAACCGTCACGGTGACAGAACTTCAGTCTGACATGAGGCTGACAGTCGGAGTGGCACCTTCAGTCAGGGTGTTACTGCGAGTCATTCACACTGTTATAGTCCTGCTTATTGTTTCTTCTTTAAACAGGAACTACGGCAGCAGGTTCAAAATGTTCAGCTCATTTAAGATATTACACCTTTCACTTTTTTAACTTTATTTATTGCCATACCACCCTGAACACACCAGATCTCGTCTGATCTCAGAGTCTAAGCAGGGTCGGGCCTGGTTGGTACCTGGATGGGAGACCCCCTGAGAATGTCAGGAGCCATAAAACCAATGCAGGAGTTGCGCCAACATTGGTCAATAGCAATACCAAACCTTAGACCATCATTGGTCTCCTTGAAGGATGCCTCATCATCAAATCACTTCTGAAAAACATTCATGTCTTTTCAGATAAAAAAATGATCACTGTGATCTGCTTCAACATACTAACAGTATTTCAGTTGGTTTTGTGTTACTGTGGAAACTTTCAGTCTTTAGTTGTCTTTTTATGCATCCATTTTTTGGGGGCTTTGTATGCCTCTTTATTCATTCCCTTAGTTTTTCCTTTCAGTTATCATTAAATCCATTTTGTATTTAATGAATACCTTTTATCTTTTCAAGTCTTCTTATCTTTTTGTCCCTTTTTATTTTTGAAAAATTACATTTGAAAACGTTTTTGTTCGTTTTCTGGCGTAACATGAATATGGTGTTAGCATCAGCTAAGACAGCTTTGTGATGTTTTAATGCAAAGAATTTAGTTCATTTTCAACATTTTTAAAATAATCTACACCGATATGAGCTGAAGTAATAGTCATGTTTAATGTTTATTGTCTTACTCTGTGAGACAAATTTAGCCCTCAATCAGGAAAATATTAGAACCCAGCTTTACTTAAGGAATTCACATCACCTATTGTCTTTCATACCAGAGTTTTACATCAAGATTACATAAATATTTCAAGAACCACTGAATAAATGGTGATGAAATTCTCAGAAAGCAATCACTGGACTTCTTATTAAAGGAAGTTTTATGGCCTTTGTAATATAAGTGAATGTTTTTGTACAGAAACCTGAAAGGACTTTTCTTTTGAGTTGGTTTTGTTTAAATAAACTGAACTGACAGCTTTTTAACTTTTAGAGTCAACCCAATAGGGACCTTCAGTCAGGCTAGTTGTAGAACATTAGTCACATGACTCTGTCTTCTTGGCACTGATGCTCGTGCAAACTCTTGTAGCCTGTTTAATTGTGTTTAAACTACTGGATTCAAGCAAGGGATGAGCCGAATTTGACCGGAAAAAAACCATAGACTTATTGTCTTCTCGAAAGAGGTAAAAGTCAACATTGGACCACCCAGATCCTATCCCTGTTCTTCTGTAGATAAACAGGTACAGTAAACCTTATTGTTTTACTGTAGTCTACTGCTAGCTTTACTCATAGCATCTATGCTAGCCTTGCTCATAGACAGCGCTCTACTCCCGGGATCTACTGCAGTCAGTCCAGCATATAGTGATAATATTTTACTTACACAAAATCTAAACATCACCATTAAGTTTCTTTAAATGATGCAGAAGTGGTGGCTCCAGTGATAAAAATACACACACACGCGTTAGCTGCGGCAAGCTAAGCTATAATAAACTGTAAAAACATCAAACTTTAAACAATTCTGCTTGTTTCAAAGTGTGTCGAAGACCTTGACCCTTGAGCCAACCTTTTAACAGAACTTTCCTGTGATTTCTGGAGTCAGATGTGTCCAAATCTGCTCTAGGAACGTCTTTATTTGTTACGGTGCTAACACTGACTCTCCGTACAATCCACTCCGATTATCCAATCATTTGCAAGTGTGATGGATAATGTTTGCAAATGAAATGCATGATGTCACGAGTGAAGGTCCCCATTCAAGATAGCCGCTGCAGCTAAGTGACCTTATCAAACTCACAACTGGCCATTCATTCACTTTTGCAGACGGTGTACCAAATCTTAGCATGTTGGTAGTAGCTGAGAGTCATCCCCAACATGTAATCTGAGTACTAACAGATCAGGGGTCTCATTTATAAAGGATTACATGGAAACCATACTAAAAGTGAACGTACGGCCAAAAGGCGGAAATGGCGTACGCCAAAAAAATTCAGATTTATAAAACCGTGCGTACACATGTTTCTGTGCATCTTTCCTTTATAAATCACAGCCGCATGTCAGAGTTTGCGCACGAGGTCCCTCCTCAGGTTCTACCCTCTACACGCCCACACTCAACCATAAACAGTCAATGTAAAGTACCTCATGAAAGTTAAGATGTATTTAAATCAGTCAGCTGATCAATGCCAACAAAAGTGATTGGCTGGTTCAGACACGCTCCTTCATGTGTCTGGAGGTTGACAGGTGCTGACTGACAGCTGCTCACATGAACCGAATGTCTGTAAAAGACACAGATTTTCCCTCATTTTGCTTTAGAGTAATCTAACAATTTTTATTTAAAAAAACTCAGCTTCAAATTAATTTTCTCTCAGAGCCTGCAGGACGATAAAAACAATAAAAATAAAATAAAATAAGTCAGATAAAATTAGAAATAAGTCCACCGCTCTTCTTCTCGTCCTCTCCCCCTCCTGCCTGCTCTGTTATCCGTGGCAGACACCCCCGCCCCGCGCGCACGCACGCACGCACGCACGCACG